GATATCCTTGACAAAGGTCGCGATCAGGTTCCGGGAGGCCCTCGGGTAGCATGTTGACAAGAAGGATGGCGTCCATCCCACTCCCATTCCACCCAAGATAGCGTCTGATCGCTCGTATTGTGCCCTCGAGGCCAAATTATTAGCTTGGATGTTGTCCAATGACATCGTGTTCACGTCCTGCATCAATTTCAACATCATCCCCGCTAACTCCCTCTCGTTAAACAAGTTCTTCAGATACGCGTGTATCTCCTTAATTATCGCCGGTGCATGCTCGAGCGCGTCTACTCCCAAGGTGCACAATCTCGGTGACAAGTACAACCATGCGTTGGTGTGTGGCTTCGTACGCAAAAACAATGCCATGAGATCCTTTTCTTCCGATGTCATATTTTTTCTAGCCGTCCTCCCCTGCTCATTCTCCGCGTGATCCATTTGTCTGAACCAGAGATCATCAGCCACCTGTTGTCCTAACAAATGATCATCATCTACCCCTGGTCTCATTTTCAACAATCTGGCGAAGTTGGACAGCTCCAAACCCAGGACTTCATCGAGCACCAACTGAGTTGTGCTACAATCCTTGAATTCCTGTATGGCATTAGAAATGTCAGCCCAAATGGCAGGAAGCTCGGATCGGGATGGGTAGTAGTTGTTGGGGTCCACCGCTCTGTTTGGCGCGGGTATTATCACGCTGAATTGTCCCTCTGTAATCGTTGCGACCATCGTGTACACAAACTGAAGGGGTTCTGCAAAATGGCGTACCACGATGATAACACAAAGATGACCTTCACTACATTCTGAGTGGAGCGTTGTTGTACTGATGATTCTACATCAGCCATGGCTGAGAGCAATGTCATTATCGCATCTCCTATGACCTCATTGCTCGGGATTGACCCATCCGTCAGACGGGACAGCAACCCTCTGCTCTGCAGGTGATCATTCGAGCCTGCAACCACTATCACCTGCGGCTCCATGCTGACTACCCTTCGCACACTTATCATCATGCCTGCTGACTTTCCCCAGTCCAACTTAGGCGACTTCAAGAAAATCACATCCTTCCAAAAGAGAGAACGGGGCGTGTAGAGGTAATCCGAACTGGCCACTATCAGGTATTTGGCAGCTTTCATATCCAAGGGATCATAGGCGGCAAACAGGCTGTCACCGAATGGTGCCTTCAGCCCCGCATATCTCTTATCCTCTCCTTCCACCGAGGTCGCTCGGGGATAGTCTCTCGAATATTCACCAGGCGCCTGACCAGGTGGTTTAGCGAACTGCCTGTACATCTTGTGATGCCTGTTGTTAGGCTTACTCTCTGCCAGAAACTTGCCCTTCCGAGCAGGTGGTGTCAATTCTCTGGCTCTCCAACGGACGTCCGTAAGACATCGGGTATTCAAGGGTCCAAAGGTATTGTCCTGAGGCAATCCATTAAGGTCCACGTACCTGAGCGCAGTCGCGGAGCTAAACTGTTCCTGTTCCGCTAATAACCAATCCACGCCCGGTATTCGATATAATCGCGACACTGTGGGACCCTCTCCGCCGATCATTTTCCTTGCATCCTCCCGACACGTCAAATTGTTCATGTTCAATCTCGCTGAAATGTCCGTCTTATTTTGTCCCCAACCGCTGGGATCTGGACGGTTCCAAAGTAGCACGCTGCCTGGTTCAACTCCCTCCGCCGGCACGGCGCTCATCAGTTGTCCTGTTGTCGAAGCAGGGTTTGCTGTAGCGGGCGGGTCATTCCTTCTAGACATGGTCTGGGAGCTCTTCCGGTTCCGATCAACCGATCTCCCAAGTCGGCTCTCCAACGATTGAGTTCAGAGAGGAGGGGCAGTCCCCAACCTCTCTCTCACATCTGAGCTTGGAGCGACGGGAGCAGCTGCACCCGTTTCCATTTCCAGGGGCCCGAGGCGATTGGTGAGTGATTCTGGCACGTTACCCCTCACTCTACCTCCTCCATTCGAGCTGGTCCGAGCCAGTGAGCTGGTTGTCGTCAATTCTAGATCAATTTCCCTCAACTGCGTCTGGAACACGTCGTTTATCCAGTGCCTCCCTTGCTGGGTGTTGAAGTGTATGCCATCCCTGGTGAGTGTGAGGTGATCGACCATGCGCAGCATGTTTTCAAGATCCAAGAGTCGCAGCTCGCTGGGGTTGCTCCTTACCAGACTGCGAGTCATCTCGTTCCACCGGGTCACGTTACCATTCATAAATTCCGCAACCGGGGTGCCCACCTCCGGTTCTGTGGTATCGTGCATAGAACCACGAGTCTGGGTCTGTACTTCTCCTTCAGCTCATTCAGAAGGCAGACCAGTAGGGGTTTCCACTTGCCCTCTGGGGTTACAGGGGCCCTCGAAACGTCATTGTTCCCGAGCATTATCACCAGCGTGTCTAGGTGATCCTCTACCTGGAACTCCATCATTTTGATAACTTGAGCCACGGAAGCGCCTCCAAAAGATAGGACAGTAGTCTGCTCGTTGACAAAGATCTCGTTTAGCTCCCTCACTAAACTGTCCCCTATAACCAAATGACGACTCCCTGAGGGAATTGCCTGGTTGCTTATGGCGGGGTTCCAGCCCATGCCATTCAAACAAGTCACTTGCACGAACTGGTTGCGCACCGTTAGATTCTTTCTAATATCAACCACGCGAGAATTCTGAATCGTCCTGCTATGCGCGGTCCCTGCTGGTACTACAGTTCGAGGTGTTCTCTCCGAGCTGCTCGAAGAACGATCAAAGCGTTGGGAAGGGAGGACCCTACCCAGCGTCCTGCTAGTGGTCCTATTGATCTCGTTCATGGCTGCTCTCGCTACCTGATTGAATGAATCCTGGAACTGAGGAGCGAGATAAGTGTCTGAGGGGTCCGGTATCGTATTTCTCGGCTTGGGAGCAGACTGTGATGTCTGCCGAGGAGCCTCGGGCTCTCTCGGTGCGCACAGCTCCTGTGCCTTTGTCCTGGGAAGTGTGTCCCTGGATGCCTCCGAGGAGTTCATCGTTGCCAGACATTTGGCTCACCCTCGCCATATATAGTTCCTTCAGATTTTTTTTAAATCTCCTATTCCTTGTAAGCTATTTGCAGTTCTTAAAACTTCTTCTTCCATTCGTCCCTTTCTCGAGATATCGCTCTGTATTCCTGCAACTTGGCACACAGCTCGTTCTGATCTCTTTCTTTCTTCTTCAAGGTCTCGATCGTCTCCGAGGTCCGTATCTCGATCTCGCTCACCTTCAATCTCTTCAGAGGAGGAGCAGCTGTTGAAGAGTCTACTGAGTGTGACGGGCCCGGCCCATCTTGTAGTCGTTTTGCTCCGATGAGCGGCTGTGCAGGCTGAACAGGTAGAGGCATCTCACCTAGCCGGTAATCCCTCTGCTCGCCTAGTCCCGGCTCACGAGCCAAGTTGTGTCCGGACATTTCTCCTCGACGCCATCTCATCAATCGATTTCGCCCTCTCTTCTCGGCGGTCCCGGACTCACCGGAGGCCAGCATCAACACCACTTCCGTGGGGCGATTTCCTCGACCCTCTCGTCCCAACGCGTTGAGGAGCGCGACCACAAACATCGCCAGTCCCGGGTCTTCTCGTGTAAAGTCACAATCAATCAGCCGCTGATAGGTCTCGTCTAGAGTCGCTCCTAGACTCGCTGAGAGGAATTCCATTAATTCATTCGTGTCTCCCATTTCTATCGTGTTGATTTTCTTCGGCAAAATCCTTCTGGTTTGTTGGGTTCAATAAACAAGATTTGATCAATCAAGATCTAAAAAGCAATTCACGACTCAAAACCATCACTTCATGCCGTCCCATTTTAAGGATAAAACATCATTCTTTTTTTAACGATCCATTGAAATTTTTCTTCGTTGCTGATTTAAAACTTAGCACCAAGGTGGATCGTCCACCTTCAACCTTATCAAGGTAACACAAATGAGCGCTGTCACCTTCACTACCTGGAGTGTTCCAGGTCTTTCACGACACAAACATCACATAAAACATAGTCTAACAATAACATAACACATGAACATAATATACCTACATTATTACATAAAAACATAATCCCTAGTAGCTAACCTAACTCAATCCTAATCTCTATAAAGTGAACTTAATAAAAACCACTTATCGCCGAATGCAACTCCTAGCATATGCTCAGATAGTACTTTTTATGTAAGTAAACCTCTATGCTAATTTCTGAAAATATCACGTGTACAAGGGCGTACAACTCTCTCGGATGTAGCTTTCCCCTATTGGGATCATAGACTGGTAACGAGAGAGAGGTCACTCCTCTCTCAACCAGAAAATCTCCAAGTCGAATCAAGGCCAATACCAAGCTCTCTAGATCTACCTGTTGCCTATCAGTGGCCTTAGTAACCAGGAAACACAAATATTTCCCTGGAATCTGTGATGCAACTGGGGCAGCGCTATCATCCCTCCCACACCAGGCCTCTGTTTCCACAAAAACTCGATATTCTTATACTCTGTTTTGAAGTCAGCCGCTAGTGCTGTTTTGAAGCTTACATCCGCGGTTATCGCTATAGCGCATGTACGTTCCGTGAGTATAAAATCGCTGTCCGTTATGATGATTTTGTTTGAATAATGGTTCAGTAGGTCAAAATAGGATTGAAAAACTCGTCCAAAAGGTGGTTTTTTTAGCGTTCTCGCCTTCCGTTTCCGTTCCAGTTTTAATGCTCAGTTTTTTGGTGTGGGTGAGTCCTACCCCCACTCCACGGGCAAAAATATCCATCGACGCCCCGTCGATCGCCCAAAGTCGAGCAGATCGAGGTTGGATTGCGGAACGCGTAGAGGGCCATCTGGGGCGACCCAGTTGGACTCGGTATTGTCATGGCTGACGTATTTGATGCCGTCTTTATCGACATCCTGAATCGTCAAGATTGTCTCTTTAGGATCCGCCGGCAGATCGTGGAGCCATTCGAGGACTCGCAAGTTCGTTAATTCTTGCTCATGAGTCTGCTCCACCTCTGGTTCGAACTCTACTTCTGGGTGTGTGTGTGATGAGCGTGATAGATGTCTAGTCGTCGTCGTTTCTGTCCGAAATCGGTGGGTTTATCTTGTCCAGGAAGCGTTGCCATATTTCCAGGGCTTTTCTTGGGTTGGTGGTCATCTTGTGTAGGTTCCAATCTTCTGGGTAGTGGTTCCTCATGGCAGGGCAATCTTCCATTATGTGTTCCATCGTCTCTTCGGCTAGCCCGCAAGTTCTGCATTCGGATTCAATTTCATCATCGAACTTTATACGCCAGTATCGTATCTCTGTGTGGTGACCACTGCGAAGGCGGATCAGAATAACCTGTTCTCGTCGTGTCAGGTCCTCATCTAATGGGAACTTAGGGACTGAGTTGCTGTCACAGTACACTCTCTTGCATCTTGGGTGTTCCACACTGGTGTTATTTATGTTTCTTCTTATTTTCGCTTGTGCTGAGTGGTAAGTCCAGGGGATGTTGTCTTGTGACATAGCGCTACCTTCTGCTGCGCATCTGTCAGCTTCTTCATTTCCCCAACGGCCACAGTGGCTAGGGCAGCACAGGAAGACGATACCGACTTGTCGGTCGCCTAGGGTCATGAGGGAGTCAAGGACCTCTCTCTCCAGCCATGAGTTGGGACGCGGGTCACTGGTGATGCTCTCACAGCGTTGAAGTGCCGATTTCGAGTCGGTGATGATGCGGATCTGGCAGTCATGGTGGTCGTTGGAGGCTACGTGTTTTAGAGCATGGTTGATGGCCGTCAGTTCGGCTTGGAAACTGGAGGTGAATTTGCCAGCGGGGTGACTCAGCATCGTTGTTTCCTCTTCTGGGTCTGAGGGCACTATCACTACTCCTGCTCCTCCGTTCTTGTTGCTGTCCTGGGCTAAGCCCCCCCCCCCACACACACCACGAGGAGGTCTGGGTCGTTGTGTGGGTCTACTTCTGGTTCGGAGCGATCGTCGATCCAATCCCAATCCATGTCATTTACCAAGTCGATCTCTCTTGGCACCGTTACTTCATCCAGCCCTACCAGCGAGTCCATCATATCACTTAAAACTATCCTGTCTATGACGAAGTCCACGCCATACGGGTTGTATTTCTTCTTGCTCCTTCCTTTCTTGCTCTGGCGTGTCTCCATGGTGAGAGGAAAGTCAGGTTGTATTCCTTTGTAAACTTCAGTTTGTTCTGGGCAGTCCAAATCTTCTTCGGCAAAAGGTAGAGTTTCGTCGTCCACCATTACTCGCTCGGTCAGCTCCAGGTACAGTGGTAGATCGCAATCATCCACCAACTCATTTCCGTCGTTTTTGTCGCGAGTACCTCTTTCAATCACCTCACAAGCAGGATCCACTTTCAAATAGTCTCCCTCTTGCATTTCCGCTGGGATGCACCAGTCCTCTGATGAGGCATTGTGCGGTTTAATGTTTTCGTAATGAGCTGCTCTTCCTGTGCTCACTCAATAAAACTGACCTCCTTGGTGCACTTCTGTTATTTGAAATGGGCCACGCCATTTTTTAAATATTTTTCTGGTTCCTTTTGGTGGAACTACTTCCTGGAATACCCAGACGTAATCGCCAACTGAGTAGGCTTTTGCATCGGCAGTCCTTTTATCAAACCTCCTTTTTTGTCTAATTTGCGCCTGTTGCGTGTTCCTCCTGCATTTGTCATTGATGTCCTGCTGTCTTCTAATGACATCACGCCACGCACGTACGTTTGCGGTGCTGTTCTCTTCCCTCCATATTCTGGAAAGAAAAACGTCAACGGCAAGTGTCTATCCCAGTCATCCATGAAGCGTGAGCAATAGACTCTCAACATGGATACCAGCGTGCGATTTTGCCTCTCGACTAGGCCATTCGTTTAGGGTGATAAGTGGTCGAGTGGGCTTGTGCTAGCTGCGACCCTTTCATTAACTATTTCGTGAGATCACCCACGAATGCTTTGCCATTGTCCGATTGGAATGTGATGGGGCAGCCGTGCCTCGCTATCGACACATTTATCGAGTGATCGCATGTTTCATCCGCTGATGCTGTCATGCAGGGTGCTGCCTCTGCATATTTCGTAAAATGATCAATCATTACTAGCACCTGATTGTAGCCCGTGGCTGTCATACATATCTTCTGGTGATCAATCTGCACTACTTCATTGAACCCCGATGACTCTATTGACTGCAGAGGGAATCTTAGTTTCCTGGCGTCTTTCGCCTGTTGGCACGACAAGCATGCAGAGATCCATTTTTCACAAGCCTTCTTCAAACCAGGCCATTCGAATCGCTTCTGTATCCTGTTGTACACTTTGTCCACGCCTTGATAGCCCATCTGGTCATGTGAACGAAAGATCATTTCGGTCTGGTACAACTAGGGTAATACTATCGAATTGTACTTGTAAAGGACCTTGTCCTCCTCTTTACGTTTACACGCTACGATTTCGTCTTTGTTCAGGTACAACAAATCTTTTCTTTTTAGGCAGAACTGCTTCAAGATCTTATAGCTGTCTTCTTCCAAATCTCCTTTGTCAGGTGCTCCATTCTCAATCCATCTTTTCAGATTGCTCGTCATTCTGTCATTTCGTTGAGCCCTTAGGAGGTCCGACAGCCGGTATACGTCTTTATCACGTTTAATTTCCCGCTCATTATTTCCGGAGCATGAGCATCGTCCATCAACTTGACGCACCATATCTTCTTCAAAGGCGTTGCTTCCTGCACAGATGGCTCCAGATTGGTACGGACGACCGTACCATGTGGCAGTAATCTGGTTGGGCGTTTCGAAACTGCTATCAGCTCGAGCTCATCGGCGGCATTATCCACCACAGTGCCCTCCTCATCGGAGCTGTACCTGTCTCTGTTCGGATCCTGATGCATTTCTCTGTCCAGCCCACGCTGTTTCCAGTCCACCAACAAGGAATGAATCGCAATCTCCGATACATCAGAATTGGAAGTAGTCTCAGATGGGTTGTCCCAGGACTGAGGCCTCGAGTCATCACTTGAGCCGAATGATTCCACACCATCAGGTTCCAATCTGTCTGTGATGTTTCTCGACTCCACGGACAAAATTCTTTCCCTTGGCCGCTTTGAATCCGACTCCCCGGACAACATTCTATCCCTAGGTTGTCTTATCAACCTCTCCCCGGACAAGTCGTCCTGCACGGGCCGGAAGGTGCCTGACACCCGGATATTGTTTCGTCCCCGGAAAAACAATCTGAGCTCGGCTCGTACTCTTCTTTTGCATCCGTGAAATCTACTTTTCTCGTGAAGCTGGATTTCGACTTGACCCTGACTTCTTCAGTGACTTGGACCGCGGTCGATTTCCCACGTTCTATGAACGAAGTCCTCAACAAGACATCCTTCGGCATTGAGGCCACCAGCTGGTTTACTATCGACCGGCAATCCCGTTCCACATCGCGACCGCGAATGATCACTGGCCTCTTCTCCGTTTTCTCAGTGACGGTCAATCGCTGCATGGTTTCCATCCATTCATGATTATGCCTTTTGACTTCCCTATCTAGCAAGTCATGGAGCTTACCCATCACGTCCGGCGCCACGTTCACCGTCCTATTTAACAGAGCTATGCTGTTTATGCCCAACCTGGTAAGCTCCTGCTGTACCAGATTGGATCGGACTAGCAGATCCAGCGGAAAGGGTTCACCCCTGGCTAAAACCTTTATCTCAGCGGCCGTTTCCACTGGAAGTTCAGGGTTTCCTGGTATAGGGTGCTCTGACTTATCTAGCCACCTAGTGAGTGGTAGTTTGTCGTAGGTCTCCTTGTCTAGGAATGAAAACCCGTCTTTGATCTCCGCTTGGTTAGCCTGATTTTGTTCGAGGCGCTCATAGATTTCTGTCTTCTTACTGAGGCTATCAGCATTCTGATGCTTGTCACGGGTACGGTGCTCTATGATCATGTGGTATCCATCCAGGCGCACGATCCAACGACCAATATAACTTTGGTCCATCGAATAGGTTTTAAGCCAGGCAAGGGCACGATTATCCACATGCAACTTGAAAGGAGCACTCCCCAAGTAGGCCCTGTACTTTTCCACGAGGGTGATAACCGCGAACATTTCCGCTTTTGGTGCGCCATACTTCATCTCGGCATCGCTCAAGACCTTACTTCCGTAGGCTATTGGACGGAGAACCGTTCTCCCATTCCACTCTTGCTCCTGGTGAAATATGTCTGATATCGCAACTACTGATGCATCCGTGTCTAACACAAACATCCCCTTCTCTGTTGGCATGCCGAGGACTGGTGCCTCGCAAAGTTCTCGTTTAATGTTTTCAATCAAAACTTGTGCCTCATCGGTCCAAGTGAATTTTTTGCCTTTATTTCTCATCAACTGTTGCATGGGGTATATCTTGTCGACGTATCCCTTGACGAACTCCCGATAATAGTTAGCAAACCCCAAAAAGCTCATCAGTTGTGTATCTGTCTTGGGTGTCTTCCAGGTCAAAACCGCTTCGACCGCTTCAGGATCCGGTCTCACTTCATGCTTATCCACCAGGCGGTCCAGATATTTTATGGAGTATTCTGGGATCTCGCAATTTGAGGGTTTACACTTCAGACCCGCCTGCTTCATGCAAGTAAACACCTCATCCAACCTCTGTATGTGATCTTCCAGGGTTGGTGTTGCTATCACGACGTCATCGACGCAACACATGATGAGGTTCCCGTACTTCTTCGTCACACTCGTGAGTGCCTGGGCCATCAGTCGCTGGAATGCAGCCGTCGCGTTGCACAATCCGAACGGCAACCTCTTCCACTGGAACAATCCGAGTTCGCACGCGAAGCCCGTTTTTTCACGATCTTGCTTTCGGAGTGGCACTTGCCAGAACGCCGAGCCCAAATCTAACGTCGTGAAGAACTTCGCGTCCCCCAGCTTGGATAGGCTCTCATCAATGCGGGGAATCGGGTATGCGTCCTTTATAGTCATTGCGTTCAGATAACGGAAATCACAACAAAACCTGAGTTTCCCCCTTTCTTTTTAGCCATGACCACGCCACAAGCCCACGGGGACTTCGACGGCTCGATCATGTCGTACTCCATTAACATCTCGATTTACTTCCTGCACACTTCCGACTTATGAGGAGTCATTCTCCTCGCCCCTTCCCTATGAGGTACCGAGCACTCTTCTATCTCAATTTCTTGTTCTACAAAATTACAGCAACCTATGTCGGCCTTATGTTTCGAAAAAACGTCTGCATTCCGACTTAGCACCGCCCTGAGCGAACCTAGTTCCTTGTCTGATATTTTACCCTTCAAATGTTCTATCTTAGGTGGGACCGGTTTATTCGCAGCTAACTCTGTTTTTGTCGGTCTCTCGGGAAAATTCGAGCAACTAGACAACTCATCATCTGTTTCCGACTTCATTGAAAACTTTTTCCTAGAAGTTTCAATTCATTTACTCTCTTCAGTATGCCAGTCTGATGTTTTTCGGTCAGTCCAGGTTTTGACCAGTATGACACTGATCACTGCACCCGTGTCCAACAGTCCTTTCACTGAAAGTTGTCTGCCCTGCACATCTAGCACATGTGCTGCCAGATCGGCTTCGCAACCTATGTGGACCGCATCCTGTTCAAGCATGGCATTGTGTCCGATTCATCGCACCTTCAGCTCTTCTTGGTCAATGTATATCCGAACAACCTGATCACTCGCATCAGTTACGTGAGCTTTTGTGTAGATATTGATGCCGTCCACATTCATCAGAATCTGGACCTCGATGTAATGTCCATCCACTCTCATCAGCCTCGGACCTCCTGTCCTGAGCAGCGCTCGCACTGCCCTGGAGTCCATTTTGGGATCCTTCTCCCTCAGGTAGTCTGCATAAA